TGAAGCATTTAATTTGAAGTCTTCAAATATTACAATACTTTTTACCTGCAGTGCACAAGAAGTGGTCCACCAGTAGCCAAGTGCCTGGCATGAATCTTTTGCCTAAATCCAAGTAGAGCTGTGGAATGGTGTGGGACACCTTTGTCTGGCCAAGTGACATAATGAAACTGCTGCACATTCCTTTTTTCTGCGTCCTAGGTGAAAATTTGTATCTATGTTGAGGATATTCTTATAGTAAGAGCTTCCTTGGCCCAAAGTACGTAGTCACTCTTTGCAAGTAGTTTACCGTGACAAAAAAATAATTCAAGATGTAGTATTTCAAATGACGTAATTTTAGTTCTAACAGAGATGAGCAAATATTATCATTCTTATCTGAATTTTAGTGTACAACAAGCACTATCAACAGAGAGAAAAAGCTCTAATACTTAATGTTATATAGCGGCGGATCCAGGAGTTTTTTGACAAGTCTAAACTTTGATTCACAACAAAAACTATTTTTTTTGTTCTTGTTTTGCACTAGCGCCTAAATAGCTAAATAACCTAAGAGATATTTCAAAAAGGTATATTTATCATTTTATCTAAATTATCTTGTTGTGTCCTTACTTAGTGGTTTTATTACTGCTATTTTATAATTGACACATTAATAAAGTTCATCATCATCATCATCATTTTGATTGCTTCAATTGAGTACTTATATGCAATTCTCTAGTTGGAAAAGTCTCGGTTTCAGACAAGTGGTGAAACAACCTAGAAGTCTGATGGCAAGGGAGGGGAGGAGGGGGGAATTCTGAACACCCCGAGCCCTACCCCGAGATCTACCACTGGTAGAAAATGGTTGTCCTTTACATTTTTCTATGTTGGGATGCATCGCAATTTTGTGTTCTCTTATCATGTACATGTACACTGTAATTACGTAACGGGCTCTGAAAAAGACCAAAACCTTTTATTTAACACTTAAGAGATGGAAATGAAACTAAGTGTGTCTATGCTAGGACAACCCACCTTTGTCACGATCAATGACCTGATGACGTAATCGGCAAAGGTTTCAGTCTTGTGTAGGGTAACCGTGATGGCGCCAAATTTGGTAGCATCATCTGGCCAATACTGATCGCATTTGCCCTAAAGATAAGATAAAAAAAGTACTTGTGATACTATATGTAGAGACCAATAACTTTGTCGTACAGCATGCTACGCGAGTGGCCTAGTAGCTCGTGATTTTGGTTTTGGGCCTGCTGGCTGAGGTTATGGTGCGACTTTTACAGACCATTCACAAAGCATATTTTCTAAATATTTCTCTAAGCCCACCTTTCCCAGCTCAACCAGGTTTGTAAGCATCACAATGGTGGAACTGTTTTCCTGCCAGACCATTCGCCAGAAATCAGCGATAGTTGAAGACGTTGGACCTAACAGATATGGACAAAGGAGTTAGAAAATTGTAAAAGAGAGACGAAAGATTAGTTAATTTCACTGGGGCAAATTAGCACCTATTTAAAAAAGAATGGGAGAAGTCACTTGTTTGGGAGTGTAGTTAATTTCTTGAAAATAGCCCTCATTCATTGCTGCTTTTCCCTGAGTATTTTGCCCACAAAGAAAGACGTACACTGACACAACTCAAAATGCTGTAAAGAGGCCACAGTAAAAAATTCAATAAAGTGATGGAACCCCTTCATGACGAGCAATAATCTTTGACCCCGAAAATTACAGAAACTATCGTCTGCATGAACTGTGTGGGAATTCTCTGTTAGATTTGCAGCCACACAGTATTGCCTTCGACGATCGAACCTCAATCAAAGACGCCTTTTTTTAGTTCCAACGGTGTCCCATTTGTAGAGGGTACACGGTTAAACATACTGACAAAGACCCCGGTGAAGTTGATCCACATTATTACTGACATTTGCTAGTTCTCCGACTATACGTTGAATCAACTTCCATTAAAAGCTGTTCAACAATAAAATGTGWTAGCGTGTGACAATTGACAGTGTTTCCATGAGACGCCTCACGTGATTTTTACCTTGTGTTGCAATATAGGTCATGGTGACTTCATCGTAGGTCTGAGAAGAGACATTTGAAAAAGGTAACAGAAATTCATGATAGGCAACTAAAATATCGATGTCAAGCCATTTAAATGTCCTTTCCATTGTTGTAGTTGTTGTTTTTTTTCAGCTAAGAAGTTTTTGAAATAGTGGGTAAGTCTGATAAAAAAGTTAGCTCTCGAAGACAAACAATAACAGATAAAAAAAT